CCAGAATGTCGTTACTAGTTCTCTCAGAGATGCTCTTATTCATTCCTCCCTTTTGGCGCCTGCCGTTACCAGGTCTCTATTCTTGTGTCTTACGTTACGTTGCCAAGTTGTGTATTTTTCTTCTTCTATCCTCTCTCAGGCGCTTATCCCTCTATGTTTGGTCTCGGCATTGGATCTATCTATGATTTGTGTAGTGGCTTTTCTGTCTTCTTTTTTTATATATATGTTTTCTGTTTTAATATATTTAATTATCTATTTCTCTTATCTCATTCTCTCTCTATAATGTCTATATAATATTTCCCCCTTCTTTTCCATCTAATATATCTCTTTATTTGTATCATATTATCTCTTATATCTTTTTTATATATATTCTGCTCTGTCTGTATTCTTCCTATTATTGTAATGTAGTTTTTTTTCCTTGTTATTGTTTCTTTGTGTTTTATTTTGTTTATTTATATTATATTTGTATTCTATTTTATATATTGTTATATCTGTTTGTTTCTGTATGTTATGTGTATATATTACGTATGATTATTATTATAAATTCTATTTTCTATGTTATTATTATATCTCTCTATATGATTTATCTCATTTTTTTTATTTATTTTTTAATTATCATTAATTAGTGTTTCTATTTTGATTATTATGTTATTTGATTATTTGTAGTTTGTAAGATCCTATATATGTCTTCTATCTATGTTGTTTTATTATTTTATTATGTTATTATAATATGTATTGTTTATGGTTTTTTATGTATATCTTATGTGTATTTTATTTGTCTTCATATATTATGTTATTGTATATGTGTATCTATTTAATTGATACATCTTGATTAGCTCTTCTATTATCGCAGTGATTTATATTTATACATCTTACATTTTTTTTTATCTCCTATATCATATATTATATTATATTTTTTCTCTCTCTCTATATATTATGTATATGTTATTTTGTTTTTTTTTTTTATTTATGACAATCAGGTGCAAACAAAGTGAGTAAGCACGATAGCTTGTATTATATATATATATTATTATATTATTATCCTTATTATACTATATGTCTCTCTTTTTATTCTATTTGCATTTATTTATTTTTTTAGATATGTTTTGATTTATTTGCTATGTATACTTTATTTATTTATTTTTATTTATTTTATATATGGAGATGGGTTTGTGCTTATTCTTTTTCTTTGTCCTCTTATGTTATTCTTGGTTTATGTTCATCTATCCTAGTTCTATCTATCTATTTATCTCTATATTAACGTCTCCTTTGTCTTCTTTATATATTAGAAATTTATATATATATATATGCTTTCTCTCTATTTCTGAGTAGCGTGGAATATATTCTCTCTCTGTTTTTTTTGTTGTTTTTTGTTTTTTTTTTTTATCCGCGCTAATATGTTCTACCTATAGTATTCTTTTTAGTATCCAGCTGAATTCTTGTTTATATTTTGAGTAGAGATGGGGTCTTGGGCTCTTGCTCACGGCTGGTTTCGAACTCCTGACCTTGAGCCGATCCACCCGCCGCCTCTCACTAAGAATTTTATTTTAGAAAAGTTGAATCACATTTGTGATCTAAGTCCTCTAAAGGTACCTCATTATGTATGAGTTCTTGGATGAGCACCAAAAACTAAGGGAAAATCTGGATTGGTGATTTTGGTGTTTTAGCATTTACAAAACATTAAATAATTTTCAGTGGGAACATGGATTGAATGGTTTTCAAATAAGCTACTTGAAGCGCAAGTCTGAAATGCAGTTGCTTGAGAAAATCCTAAAGAGTCAATGTAGTAAATGTGTGAAATCAAAGAAGTAGCATGACAAGAGCAACGATAATAGCGTTTAACAGAACATGGTACATTATGCCGCAGGATGACGACGACTGTACCCACCGTCACAGTAGGGCAAGCAAAAGGAAAAGAGTGTTTTCATAATTTTAAATTCACACACAGGAAATAAAAATATAGTGTAACAAAAAAAAAAAAAAAAAAAAAAAAAAAGAATAGTGATAGACTTTTTTTGATACTTCCCACCCTACACTTAAGCTCAACAGTGAAGATTGTGGTACTGCTGCAGTCACAACTAGTGTACCGGCAGAAATTAGTAGCAATCTTAAAACATAGGACGTTCTTTATGCTTATTTAAAATGTGGGCTTTAATTATTGTAGAGAAGATGGCACATGGTATAGTAGAGATGCTTTTGTGTCTCTTCCATCCCTAAACAGTAACCTAAAAAAGCACACTACTCTTAGTGTGACAAAAACAAGTCGTACAGACCCTGAGGGAAATTCACTAGAAAATTTTACAACTAAAAAGAAAGGCTTGTCTTGACTAGGGGCATTTCAATAAAAAACACAAGTATGGTGTGGCCTGGTGGCTTACACCTATAAGCCTAACACAATCATCCTGAGGTGGGATGGTTGCTTGAGGTCAGGAGTTCAAGACCAGCCTTAGCAAAAGCGAGACCCTGTCTCTACAACAAGTAGAAAAATTATCAGGCGTAGTGGTGTGTGCCTGTAGTCCCGGCTACTTAGGAGGCTGAGGCAGGAGGATTGCTTGAGCCCAGGAGTTTGAGGTTGTAGTGAGCTATGATGATGCCACGGCACTCTAGCCTGGATGACAGACTGAGACCCTGTCTCAAAAAACAAATAACAACAAGAACAGCAACAATAAAAACCCCACAAAAAACAAAAATACAAGTACAAAAACCACTAGAGGCTTACCTCTGTTTCAGAATCATCATCTAAGATGAAGCCGATGTTACAGGTTTACCAAGTTTTTTCCTTTTTTATAGATATGACCAGATTGTTTTGAGTCAGAGTAGGAGTGACTGTAAAAAAAAAAAAAACTCCCCCCCCAAAATAATACCCCCTCTTATTGAAGGTAATTATTAATCAAATGGCAGATTTTTATGAGCTCAGGAGACATACTCAAATAATTGAGGGACTGTTTTTCTTAATTACTCATCCTTGACTTTAAATATACACTTTGGTGCGTATATCTGTCACCTCATACCCTTTCCCCAATATTCACAATGTCTGAAGATACTACATTTCTAAGTACTTAATGTTGTAGCTAGTAAGGAAATTTTCAACAAAATACTTTTTAGCAAATGCAGCATGAAATGTGCGTAGAATGTGGGGTGCAGATCTGACAGGTGGAACCGGTGGTCCTGTAGGCGACAGCCAGCTCGCTGTGAATGGTGCCTGGGTCGGGGTCCATTGCCCAAGCGCCAGGAACAGCTCGCTCAAGAGGGTGCGCTTGACTTTGCTCACTTCCTTCAGGAGGGTGAACAGAGCGGTAAATTGCCTTCAAAACAAACAAAAACCATGAAAGCTCCAAATCAAATAAAGAGAGTGGTAGGGCTGTTTATCCTTTTGAACCAATTTGTTGTGAAATAGGAAGTGTGTTTGAAAGTTTTGCTCAGCTGGGGAAAGTTGCTGATCAGAATTTTTGAAGTCAGGGTTAAATTATTTAGCTTAGTGGAAAGCAAAGCAATGAAAAGGGGTTTTCCTTTTGAAAACCCGCTAAGGTGATGAAGAGCTTCATGTCCGCTTGGTGGTGTGCTGGCTCTCAAAGGCTGCTTACCGAGCACACAAGGCCCCGCACTCACCAGCTACAGGGGAAACTGTTCACCGCACACGAGGGAGACTCGGCAATTAGTTGAATAGGATGTGGAAACTGAGTTTGAGATAGTTCATTTAAAAGAGAGTTACAGCGTTTGTGGTAGAACAAGAACTCCCTTTGCTTAAACATTCAGTCCTGGAGAACAAGCACGCATCCCACGGGAGAGGGAGGGGCTTGTCCCCTGCACGCGCCACGAGTGTGCCTTTGTGCGTCCTCCCCCAGGGGGTGCACGCCAGGGTCTCCACCCTCGTGGCCTGAAGACATTTCCCTGGTCATCCCAAAGGAGGGCACAGTGGCTTGCTGTTTGTATCTGCATATCTGTGTCAGTCTGGATTCTGGAAATGCTGTGTGGTAGTTTCTGAGACAGAAACTTCTTGGATGCTGATGGGCAGCGAAAGCTCTGGGAGTGGCTTTTCCACAGTTCATGAACTTTGACATCGCAGAAGTTCATCCACTCACTAGTGAGAGAGGTAGGCAACACTTTTCAGGCTGGTATTTTAAAGCATTCTATTACATGTTTCACGGTCTGATGAAAGATTCGAGTGAATTTTAAAGTAGAATGATATTTCAAAGAAAACTGGAACCTTGTCAGCTGCTTAGGCTGGATCCCTGGGTGTCGGAATGCAAAGAGCCTCTGCCCCCCCTTCTGCTGATAGTTAAATTTTGATGGGAATTTTGGGGAAGTTCTGCTTCTGGTATCATCAGTTATGAAAAGTGTTGTGGAATTTTCCAAGCAACATTAATTTACTTTATTTTGACTTAAGTATGTCCGGTTTAATATTTAGGTGCTATGTAAGGAATTTCAAGGATATTAGAAACCTTTATAGTAACATTAACAAAAATAGCAAATGCCTACTGTGTGTCAGGGATCCTTCTAAGCATTTTATCTCCATAACTCATTTATTTCCCAAACCACCCTGTGCAACAGGTACTAACTACAGTATTATTATCCCCAATATATATAGATAATGAAATATAGACATAGAAGTTAAGGAATCTGCCCCCGTCGTGAAGCCAGAATTTTAAAGTTCCACAAACATCCATGTGCATTTACATATTAGCTATTTGAAATAGTCTTGGCGCTGTGTGAGTTGGTCAGTGCCTCCTGAATTGTTTCTGTAGTGAAATCCTTCCTGTGGGATAACTCG